GACGCGCCACCTTCTCTCCTGACATCCCAACGCGCTTCCCAGCTAAGGACAAAGGGGAGAAGAACTTCGCCATGTCCTACGTGAAGCTGATGAAGGCGGACGGAACGGCGCTGCAGGACGGCTGCCACGACCTGACGGTGCTCAAGGTGCCCGGGGCGGGCGGGGGGGCAGAAAGGGGCGCGGGACCCCGGACCGCACCGCGCCGCGGGCCTCCGTCCCCTGCCTGAGGTCCGGGAGGCGGTGATGGCCAGGATTCCCGCAGGACCTCGGAGAGACGCTGCGCTGCAGCGGACGGAGGGAAATCCCAGACCTGGAGTCCTGACGCGCCCCCCCCACCATGCCTGGGGCCCCAGCTCCCCCTCCCCAGTCCCAGCTCCCCCTCCCCAGTCCCAGCTCCCCCTCCCCAGTCCCAGCTCCCCCTCCCCAGTCCCAGCTCCCCCGAAGTCCGTGTTGTGACATTGTAACGAGATACCAGGGGCGGGTTGCTTTAGAAAGAACAGAGGTTTGTGTGGCTCGCGGTTCTCTCTGGCCAGGGTGAGGCCTCCTCCCCACACCGCCCGGCCCACGGCCATCTCCTCCTGGACGGGACGCATAGCCCTCCCCGCCCACCCGCCCGCCTCCCTCAGGACACTGGACTAGTGCCTGCCAGGGGCACCATGCGGGGTCAGCGCGGCGGGGCTGGGCGCGGGGCGGTCACCAGGCTCCGTCTGCAGGGGGACAGCAAGAAGATGGAGGACGCCAGCGCGTACCTGACCCTGCCCTCCGCTCGGCACCACGCCGACAGCAAGGGGGCCACCTTGAGCCGGAGCTCCAGCAGCGTCGGGGGGCTGTCCGCCAGCTCCCGAGACAGCTTCTCCATCTCCACCCTGGTGTGCTCCACCAAGCTCACGCAGAACGGTAACCCCAGGGAGCTGTCTGTGGTGTGCGTGTGTATGGGGGGGGGTGCGCGGGCACGTGGGCACGCCCCCCCCGGGTGTACATGCCCCACGGAGGAGGGCTGGGACGGAGGGGACGGAGTTGGCCACTCACGGAACCCCGCCCGGCTCTGCCTCAGTGGGGCTGCTGGGACTGCTGAAGTGGCGCATGAAGCCACAGCTGCTGCAGGAGAATCTGGAGAAGCTGAAGATCGTGGACGGCGAGGAGGTGGTGAAGGTGGGTGCCTGGTTCTCGCTCGTCCGCCGACTCGTCCGCTGGGGCAGCTCTGGGCTTTGGAGGGCCACAGGAAACACCCCGACACGTCCCCGGGAGGAGCAGGACCCTGCTTTACTCACTTTCTCCCGCCCTGGGGGGGCAGCGGCAGCATTTCGGACCCAGGCCTTCGCGTGCACTGTTGATCTGTCTGTCCGCGGTTCTCGGACGCCCTGCATGGGGTCTGCAGCCTCCAGCAGCTCAGAGACGCCAGCAGCTGGGGCCAGACCGCTCCTTCCCATTCCCTTTCCTTCTTTTGTCATAACAATCACTTGCCACGGAATAATAATAAAATATACAACAAAACAGGTCCAGAGCCCAGACGGCCCAGTGCAGTGAATTTTTATTTTTTTTCCAGTCCTGGGGCTTGAACTCTGGGCCTGGGCGCTGTCCCCGAGCCTCTTTGTGCTCAAGGCTAGTGCTCTGCCACTTGAGCCACAGTGCCACTTCCGGCTTTTTCTGAGCCGTTTACTGGAGAGAAGGGTCTCATGGACTTTTCTGCCCAGGCTGGCTTCGAACCGTGATCCTCAGATCTCAGCTTCTTGAGGAGCTGGGATGACGGGTGTGAGACACCGGCGCCCGGCGTCAGTGAATTTTTATATGTGCACTCTGCACGTCAGCCCCAAGGCAGGGGGGCATTTGCCCCGCACCCCATCTCGGCCCTCACCCCTCCCCCGGCAGCCTCTCGGCCGAGCGCCATCGTCGGCCGGCCTGGCTGTGCGGTTGGCGCCCATGCAGCCATGTCTGCGTCATCTGCCTGACTTCCCGCACGCTCTGCCTGAGGCCGTGGGTCTCAAGGCTGTGTGTGGACGTGGGCTGAGCTCTCTGTGCGGCCGGGTGTGCAGAGCGTGGGGATGCCCTGCTGTCTCCTCCACGCTCTGCCCGAGGCTGTGGGTCTCAGGGCTGTGGGTCTCAGGGCTGTGGGTCTCAGGGCCGTGGGTCTCAGGGCTGTGGGTCTCAGGGCCGTGGGTCTCAGGGCTGTGTGTGGACGTGGGCTGAGCTCTCTGTGCGGGCTGGGTGTGCAAAGCGTGGGGATGCCCCGCTGTCTCCTCCACGCTCTGCCTCTGTCACCGAAGCTACAGAGGTCCCCCCCCAGAGATTGGGGTGCTGGGCAGCCTGACCCCCTCTACCCTTCTAGAAGCTTCTTTCCTTCTTTCTCCCAGTTTCTTCAGGACACGCTGGACGCGCTCTTCAACATCATGATGGAGCACTCGCGTAGCGCTGAGTACGACATCCTGGTCTTCGATGCCCTGGTGAGTGGGGGCGGGGAACCCCACAGCCTCGGGGTGGGGGTGGGACCAAGCCCTGGCCACCCGGCTCCCGTGTGGCTCCTTCTGGGGGCTGCGATTGAACTGTGGACCAGAGAGCGCGGGGCCGTGGCTGAGAGGGCTTTCAGGACTGGGGTCAAACCGGGCCTGGTTGGACTCTTGAGGCGGGAGCCACAAATGGCGGCCCTGGCCCCTGGGAATGCTGGGAGCCCACTGATGGCCACCCTGGCCCCTGGGAATGCTGGGAGCCGGCCAGGATGCAAAGGCCATGTGTGCTTCCTCACTGCCCCATCCTCTACCTTCCCGCCCACCTGGCTCCCAGCCCCAGCTGCCCCAGCCTTCCACAGCCCCCCAGCTGCCCCGGCCTTCCACAGGCCCCCCAGCTGCCCCGGCCTTCCACAGGCCCCTGTCTGCCCCGGCCTTCCACAGCCCCCCCAGCTGCCCCGGCCTTCCACAGGCCCCTGGCTGGCCAGGCCTTCCACAGCCCCCCAGCTGCCCCGGCCTTCCACAGGCCCCTGTCTGCCCTGGCCTTCCATAGCCCCCCTGTCTGCCCCGGCCTTCCACAGCCCCCCGGCTGCCCCGGCCTTCCACAGCCCCCCAGCTGCCCCGGCCTTCCACAGGCCCCTGGCTGGCCAGGCCTTCCACAGCCCCCCAGCTGCCCCGGCCTTCCACAGCCCCCCGGCTGCCCCGGCCTTCCACAGGCCCCCAGCTGTCCCCGGCCTTCCACAGGCCCCCCAGCTGCCCCGGCCTTCCACAGGCCCCTGGCTGGCCAGGCTTTCCATAGCCCCTCTGGCTGGCCAGGCCTTCCACAGCCCCCCGAGCTGTCCCGGCCTTCCACAGGCCCCTCTGGCTGGCCAGGCCTTCCACAGCCCCCCCCCCCCGCCGGCCAGTCCCCTCCCCATCTTCCCAAGCGCATCGCTCTTCTCCCCTACCACAAGCCGCATCAAAACAGACTCAGGGTGGAGCTCAGGGGGGTGCGTGCCAGCCTGTGGGAGGCCTGGTCCAAATCCTCTGGTGCTGCAGAGTAATATGAAAAGAGAAGAGGGGGAGAGAGGGATGGAGGGGGGCAGAGAGGGAACAGAGGCAAGAAAGAGGAAGAAAGGAAGGGAGGGAGGGAGGAAGGAAGCAAGGAAAGAAGGAAGGAAAGATGGAAGAAAGGAAGGAGGGAAAGAGGGAGGGAGGGAGGATCTGGTTTGCCCCAGAGTTATCAGTGACCAGGGAAGTCTTCCCTCTTAGCCTCTGCATGTCCATTTGCATTTTAAAGCTGTTATTTGTGGTGACAGCAGTGGTGTGCAGGAGGGCTTCTCCAGAAGGTTCTGGAAGGCTGGGCTTCTCCCAGAGGGCAGGAGGGGACAGCTCCTGGGACCCCAGGGCTTAGGGGAAGGCACAGGGCAGCCGAGTGAGCGTGTCTGACCTGGGTGAAGGCGGCCGTCATCCCCTGACACCCAGAGGCCCTGCGGGGGGGGGGCTTCAGCAAGGATGGAGGGGCTGGGAGAGGGGTCGAGGAGGGAAGGAGCGGCGGATGGGGGGGCCGTGGGAAGTTTCCCCGCCCTGCACCACCCCACCCCGTCGCTCTGGAATCTTCCTCAGATCTACATCATAGGACTCATCGCTGACCGGAAGTTCCAGCACTTCAACACGGTTCTGGAGGCGTACATCCAGCAGCACTTCAGCGCCACGCTGGCGTACAAGTGAGCGGCCGCCGGCCCGGGTGCGGGGAGTCCGTGGGAGGGACGCCAAGCCTCCCCTGGCTACAGCCACCTGCCCGGGTCACGCGGGCATCCTGGACCCCAGGGAGGATGTGGGGACAGTGGGGGGGCAAGGCCCTCACCTGCCACTTGAGGACACCGCAAGGGGGGAGCGGAGGCTCGGCCCTGCCGCCGGGCGCGGGCTGGTGGCTCTAGCTTGCCGGGAGCGGGGAGCAGATGGGGCGCATTGAAACTCTCGTCCCCCCACCGCTCAGGAAGCTGATGACGGTGCTGAAGACTTACCTGGACACGTCCAGCCGGGGCGAGCAGTGTGAGCCCATCCTGCGCACGCTGAAGGCGCTGGAGTATGTGTTCAAGTTCATCGTGCGCTCCAGGACGCTCTTCTCCCAGTGAGTACCGGGCCGCGCCAGGGCCGGCCACACGCACGCACCACGGCCCCCGCCACGCGCCGCTGTTCTCACGAGGGGGGAAGCTCCCTCCCCTTGGCACGAGAACCAGCTTTCGGTTAGCAAACAGGAGCAGAACGCTTAAAAACCCAGATCCGCCCGGGCCGCAGCGCGGTGACCGTAGCGCGATTGGCTTCCCGCCACGTTCACCTGGGAAAGAAAAGCAATGGCGTCACCCGGCGTGCGCGGGATCTGAGGCTCCGGGCTCTTCCACGCCACCCTTGGCCATCACGTGTGGGCGGAGGGCGGGCGAGGAGATCTCAGGGCACCTGGCGTTCACGGGGCCCAACCAGGCGGTGCTTGGCCCTCGAGCTGGTGTTGGTATAGTGGGGCCTGGCCGGAAGGTTCCACAGCCCAGTAGGCTGATGAGCAGGGGAGGGGGGCTGGGGGGGTGTGGCATGGTGGGAGACAGTCAAGGCCGGTTTTACAGCGCGCTTAGCTTCCCAGTTTACATCTGTCGTCATCCGTGGCCAATCCGTCCAGGGCTGGCGTGGCGTGGGCTTGGGGTGTGACAGGAAATAAGGGAAGGAGAAGGAAGGTCTGGATTCTTACCAGTGTGAGCGAAGAGCCAGGAGAGCCCGGGGAGAAGTGGGGTCTTGTTCTTCACGCCAGCGTGTGGAGTGGCCTTGGGAATAGCTAGATCCAGGAGCCTGGCACTGGTGCTCACTGCGCAGCCCCGCTCTGTGACCGACACCCGCTGGGAGCCTCCCTCCTCCCCTCCCTCCTCCCCTC